CGGGCTGGAGAACCTAGTGTGAGAGCATGGCTACAGAACCTGGCTGGAGAACCTGGAGAACCTGGCTGGAGAACCTAGCAAGAGAACATGGACACAGTACTTGGCTGGAGATTGTGGCTAGATATCCTGGCAAGGCTGCTGATCAACTGAACGCTGTCTCCGTGTCATTCCTCTTCACCGACTCCGTCCACACTTTGGGGACCCCTGGACCTGCTGGGGGGAAGGAAGGGAGGGGTGTCTTTGCTCCATCTTCTTTCTGCTTCTCTGTATAGTTTTTCTGTCTATTCTACAATAAGCATGCATTCCTTTGATAACTGAAGAGAAAAGGTTATTTTTTAAAAAAAGAAACAAGTGGCCACTTCAGAGTAGCTCTGTTAGCGATAATAATACTTTTACCGGAAATTTATTGGAATGTGAGGTTCATGGGTTCTCCGGACTGACACATAGTAAATACGACGTGAATGTTTGTTAAATAAAAATTCTGGGCCTGACACTCCTTAAGCTGTGTGCTTGGGAGCATAGCATTGCACTACTCTGGGCCTCAATTCCTTCGCCTGAGAAATGGCTGCCTCATAGGGCTCTTGTGATGGCTGAAGTAAATCTGGGATGGTATGTGAATGTGTGTGTGTGTGTGTGTGTGTGTGTGTGTGTGTGTGTTTAGCATATTACCAAAATGTACTGAGAAGGTAAAGAATTTGAATGGACGATTCTCCAAAGAAGAGACACAGAGACCAAATAAGCACATAAAAAGATGTTCAACATCATCAGTCATTAGGAAAATGAAAATAAAAACCACAATAAGACTCACGCCCACTGTGATAGCTACAACCAAAAAGACTGACAATAACAAGCGTTTGGCCAGGATGTGGAGGAACTGAAACCTTCCTACCTTGCTAGCGGGAATGAAAATTGGGGCGGCCGCTTCGGAAAACAGTTTGACAAGCCAGGAACCCTACTCCTAGATACCAGTACATACCCAAGAGAACTGACAACACACGTTCACACAAAAACGTGTACATGAATGATCAGCAACATTATCCAAAATAACCAAAAAGCAGAAGCAACCCAAATGTCCACCAACTGATGAATGGAGAAACACATGTTGTGTGCCCATACGATGGAATATTATTCCGTCATGAAAGAGGAATGAAGCGCTGAAACATGCTTCCACATGGATGAGCCTCGAAAACATGATGCCAAGTGAACGAAACCAGACACAACAGGCCACAAAAATCATACTGTCTGATTCCACTGACGTGAAATGTCCAGGTTAGACAAATCTACAGAGACGGAGAGGAGATTAGTGTTGCCAGAGGTGGGTCCGTTTCATCTCAGGGTAAGGAAACTGAGGTCAGAGAAGCAGAGTTCTACCGTGTCTGCTTATCTCTGAGACTTTGGAAAGTGGCTTCACCTCTTGGACGCTTAGTTTTTTCAACTAAAAATAGAGATAACGATGCACCCGCGAGAGGGTGGTCGCGCATCTTCCCTGTGTCAGTTCCTTTTCCCTTCCCTCCAGCCTTTGGGTGGAAGCCCCCGGGGTTTCAGGGCTAAGGCTGCCATCTAGCGGTGAGCGCCAGCATCTGCCAAAAGCCTGTGAGGTTTTCTAGTCAAGTTAATTAACCCTCTATGGCAGCGGTTCTCAACCTGTGGGTCGAAAGCCTTTGGGAGTCGAACGACCCTTTCACAGGGGTTACCTAAGACCATCGGAAACACACATATATAATTACATTTGTTTTTGTGATTAATCACTATGCTTTAATTATCATCAATTTGTAACCATGAAAATACATCCTGCATATCAGATATTTACATTACGATTCATAACAGCAGCAAAATTACAGTTATGAAGTAGCGACGAAAATAACTTTATGGTTGGGGGTCACCACAACACGAGGAACTGTCTGAAAGGGTCGCAGCATCAGGAAGGTTGAGAACCACTGCCTATGGGCTTGGGGAGAAGGAAGAGGATGAGAAAGATGCAACCCTGCTAGAAGGCCAGGGCTACCAGATTGGCCAGGTTCTTTCCAGAGGTTTCCAGACTCTGGAGATGTTTCTCACAGACGTTGGTCCTGCGGTAGTGGCCCCACAGTGGAGTCGGATTGCACAGCTGGTAAAGGCAGTCGGATTCAGGTCCCAATAGTTGCCCATAGGAGCTTGGGAAAGCCACTATAATTCCGGTGATTACCAACGTATTCCTCCTTTTTCCTGCTGGAACTCTTAAAAATGAAGACCTGACCTTGTTACTCTCTAGCCTAAGATCTGGCAAGTTCCCCACTGAGACCTGGCCACCACACCCCCAGCCCGTCTGATCTGCAGCCCCCTTTACGGGGGTAGCGGGGAGAGAGGTGGGGGGGTGTTGGGA